GTCACTCCTGTTCTCCCCAGCCCGCACGCGCCAGGCGATATCCTGCTCCTTCTAGTGCCTCCTCCGAGCCTTCTCAGCTATCTTCTTCTTCTAGCCATCCGCCGCCTCCTTCAGGGCCACCTGCCAAGCCACGCCCTCCGCCCCCTTCGAGAGGTGCGGCCGGGGTTTATAACCAGTAAGTCCCTGCAAAACGGACGGCTTGAAGTCAAATTACAGCCTTACAGGAGAGCGAAATCGAAAGGGACACGGAATAAGGAGAGGAGAACATACTAGATTGGGTAGCTTCTTGGTGTGGAAAGGTCTGGGCTTTCCTTCGAGGGTCTCCCGGGCCTTCAGCTGCAGCACCCGGTTGAGTCGGCTCTAGACTTCGTCCTTCGCCAACTCCACTGACGACGCACGGTCGGGGTCCATCAGTCCGGAGTATGTCCACATCGGCGCATCCTTTCCGCCAGCGGTGTGACCCGACGGTGAAAAAAGGTGTGGAACACCCTCAGCCCATCGAGGTCGTGCTACACCAGCTTCTGGAGCTCCTCCCCGATGATCTCCACCTTGTTCTGCCAGCTAGAAGGGCCCCATGACCAGCTCTCTCGCCTCTCCGGCCTCCTGCCAATGAATGGCAGGAACGGCGCCTCCGTCGGGTTACTGATGTAGAACCACTCCCCATGCCACCCCTGATTGGAGTCGCAGGGGGTGTACATGGGGTAGGCGTCCGATGAACTTGGCTTCTTCTGCAGGGCGAAGCCCCCAACCGGAGCGGTCCTAGGCGGCGTCCCCTCCGACAAAGCTCGCCTAGAGAAGATCCACCGGAAGAAATCCACGTGTGGCTCCATCCCGAGGAAGGCCTCGTAGACGGTGATGAAGCCGACGACGTGCAGCACCCCAGTTGGATTGAGGTGCTGCAGCTCCAGGCCCTAATCATTGAGGAGCCCGTACAGGAACCAGTGTGCGGGGTACCCTAGCCCGCGCTCGTGGAAGGCGAGGATGGAGACAACATCGTCGGCCCAAGGTCGCGGAAAAAGCCTCCCCCGCAGGAGCCCTCCAGTGCGCCACCTCCTTCGGCGGTAGCAGCCCCTTCTCGGTGAAGGTGGCCTGCACCGACTCGCTTACACTGGATGACCTCTAGCTCGACATTGCGCTCTAGGTTCACGAAATGGATCTGTGAGTTCTCCTCTCCCTCGCTTTACCCTCTCTTACTCAGGAACCACCGCGGCACATGAACGCACTTAGCGATAAGGGAGAAGGAGGAGAGGCTACGGTTGGGGAATAGGCGAAGGATCAGGACAAAAGCCCTCTCCCTTCCCCTATTTAAGGAGGAGGTGCAGCAGTTGGGGAAAGGCGAAGGATTGGGGCGAAAAACCCTCTCCCTTTCCCTATTCAATGTAGATGGGATGCGGAGGGACGCGTCCTGACCGATGGGACGCACCCTGCTTGACGAGATGGCGCCTGGATAGATGGGACGAGGCCTGGGCATGGCCCACCACTACCGCACGCCGGGCGTAGGAAATAAGGCGCAACCACACACAGGCGGCCCTCTACCTTCCTAGGCAAGACTTGGAAGGGCCCAACAATGGGATCTCCACCCAGGAGAGACCAACGGGCTTCCTGAGTCAATCGGATGGGTCAGACGAACACCGAGAGATAGGTAAGGAGCAGAGGGACGCCCCATGTGGGCCACGCTAACTCTGTCATGAACGACGAGCGTGGATCCCATTCGGACATATCCGATAAAAACCCCTCAAGCCTGTCACTCGAGTCATCGAGGTAACTCTACCAATCCCTCTTACTTTATTTTATTATCTGAATGCATAAACATTCATTCATCCATTCTCATAAACACATTCATACATTCATTTATGCACGCATTTATTCATCCCATACATCCAAAAGCATCGCATATGAAGTTAAATGCATCATAACGCTCCGTGTTGAGTCACAAAGCGGTAGTTGCCTCGTTCAAACATGAGCAACGACCGACCGGGGTTCGAAGGCCGGCCCGCGAAGGGCTCGAGGCCGCCTCGCGTCAAACAGAGCTAGGGGAGAAAAACGCAGATGAGCCCCAGCGGCCCTCGCCCAATCTGCTCCGAAGCAGACAGGGTCATCTCAACCTTCTTGTTCGATCCTAACCTTGAGCCATACCCATAGAATCTCCATCGAGGGGAGGCCAGCGGGCCACCTGGGTCAGTCTCCGGAATGACCCGAGGATCTGTTGGGACGCGGGTTAAGAAGTAGTGGAATGCCACATGAGGGCTATGCCGACCCTGTCACGAACGACGGACCCGGATTCCACTCGAACGTGCCCGTTAGCGAGCTCACCGAGCACGTCACTCGAGCCATCGAGGCAAGCGATGTTAACTCAACCCCTCCAGTTGCAGAAACCGCGGATAGGGTAACGCATGGAAGTAGACCAGCCCCTACCAAGCCCAATGGGCTCGGGTGCTCAGGTTGCCCGACACCGACTTGGGAAATCAACCGACTGCGCTTGTCGCGAGCGGGACAAACACGGACAAACACCCCGAACGACAGTCTACGGACCCAGGAGAGAGTACCAAGATGCTTAGCCTCCAACCGACTCATCAGACGGACGTAGGCTCGGGGGCTACACCCACGGGTGCGCTCGCGCGCACCCGCCGTCAAGATGAAAAATCCCCTAGACGATTGTACCCGAATCGCCGGAGACTCGGGGGCTACACCAGCGGGTGCGCTCGCGCGCACCCGCCGTCAAGATGAAAAATGCCCCAGACGATTCTACCCGAATCGTCCGGAGGGCTCGGGGGCTCTTGTCGGGTTCATAAACCCGGGTCCCTCATGAACTTGCTTCCCAGCAAAAGCTCGGCCCAGCAGACGGCGTTGCGAACGACGCGCAACTCCTGAGTCGGCCCAAAAACCTAACGACATGCCAAGAGGGCGATCCAGTCTCCGATCGGAAGGCCTGGCCAAGAAAGAACGACGCTCGCTTCCGACTCCGGCCCGCCTCTCCGACCAGAAGGCCTGGCAAAAGGAACGTCTCTTTCGTCACTTTCGACTCCGACCCGCCTCTCTGATTGGAAGGTCTGGCTAGATTGCCTCCGACTCCGGCGCTCGCTTCTAACTCCGGCCCGCCTTTCCAACCGGAAGGCTTGGCCAAGGAGGAACGGCGCTCGCTTCCATCGTCTCTGACTCGCTTCTCCGACCGGGGGTACATCAAACCTCTGCTTACAGCTCTTCTCCGATCGAGAGGCCGGAGCTGACTAGGGAACGACCGACCGGGGACGCCCGCTCGGTGAAAACCCAGGAAACAGACAGAGCAAGTAAGGCGGAGCGCTCCAGTCAAACCGCAATACCAAGGGCCGTACCCTGCACACCTGCAGGACAGTACTGTCAGGCCATGTGAGGATGCACCACAACCTTTCAGACATGTCAGAACATAAAAAATATTGTGGACGCCGACATTTATCCTACAGTATGGTAAGCGCCGACATCTGTCGTACCAGAAGAAGACGATGAAACCTACCACATACATCAGACATCAACAGTGTTGTGGGCGCCGACAAAACCGTCTTGTACCTGACGACGTGGGCAACAAGACTAGGTAGCACACACACTCTTTTTCTCATACTCTCTCTTGTAAAGCCGCCCCTTCATTTATAAAAGGGGATGCGCTCCCTCCAAAAGGAGGACGATTGATTCGAACAACACATGATTTGAACGATTTCAACAGAGCACACGCTCAAATACTCAACGCACGCAAGAGCTCCCATCACTCTCGGCCCTTTAGTCCAGAGTCCGACGGAACCTCTTGCACCCCCATCTTACTCCCTCTCGTTTGTAACCCCACAACAAACTTCAAACACCTGAGTTCAGGAATAAAGTCATCGACCGACTCAAACATGGACGTAGGGCACGTTGCCTGAACCAGTATAAACCCTGTGTTATTGAGTGCTATGCCACATTCGATCACAACGTACGACAAAACTACAAATATTTACGTGTTGGTCACTCTCACCGACATATATATTGAGATCATAGTTTCTATATACACTGTCTAGAAATTAATGGGTATAAAAACTCCCGTGTAGTTTTGGGACTGCCTAGCATTGCCAGTACCGGTCGACCCATCCTGGTCCGTACCACCGCGCCCGGTCCGACCTGAAGAACGCAGCAGGAGGCACGCCTCTGGCGTCTGGCCAGACCCGTGCGCGGGCGTCTCGCCGACGAGCGACACCGACCCTTTAGGCGGCTCATGGGGCGCCTTTGTATTGCCTGTGTATCTACTAGACCATGCAAGCATGTTTAAACAATCGCGTTCGTGTATGTGGCCTCGGTGTGATTGGTCAGCTACGCTTTAACTAATCCACGGGCTCTTGCTCGTACGTACGCGAGTTTGCTGCAGCGAGATTACCGGCTGTTGGCCCTGGGGTTGTTTGGGTGGGATGGAGCGACGCCTCCTCTGCTTCAGCAATAAGCAAGCAGCTGCTGAAAATCGGGGCAGCTCTTTTCTGCCTCTTCCTCTGCGTTTTCCATTGGTCCGAAACAGCTGCTCGTCCAGAACCTTGGTTTGGTGGTTATGGAGCCTACTTAGATGTGAATGTGACAGTATGTACTCTCCAGATTTTTTTTTGAAGGTCTCTCCAGAAAATTTAGTTTTCCAGAGGCATATAATATACTTGAAATGTTGTGCTGTTCTTAACGTAGCTTATGTCAACGAGATAGCAGGAGTGTACTAGTATGACTGAATGAGTACCTGACAAAGGAAAATCAGCTTCAGGGCAAAGAAGGGACAGAAAAAAAAAATGAATATAACACATGCTATGCGAGCTGAGAGCCCATTCGGTGGCCGCCTGCCATTTCGTCGAGCTGCATCTGCCTGCCCTTTTGAACTACCCAAGAGCCAATAACTAGCGCGGCGCGCCCCCTCCCGCCCCACGATAAACAACCACACGCTCGCCACCCATGGCCACCACCACAGCACAGGCACAGCAGCAGCAGCAATGCCACCGGCACCGGCACCGCTACCGCCAACCATGGCCCCCTCAGCGTCCCTGCAGCGCTTCCTCCCGCCCTCCCCGCACGCGGCGCCGTCGTCGTCGTCGTCCCGGCGCCGCACCGGCCGCGCCCGAGCGGCCGTCTCCATACCATCATCGTCTCCGCCGGCGACAGGGGAAGTCCCGGCGGAGCGGCTGGAGCCGAGGGTCGAGGAGCGGGAGGGAGGGTACTGGGTTCTCAAGGAGAAGTACCGGACGGGGCTGAACCCGCAGGAGAAGGTGAAGCTGGAGAAGGAGCCCATGGGGCTGTTCATGGAGGACGGCATCAAGGACCTCGCCAAGATCCCCATGGAGGAGATCGACGCCGCCAAGCTCACCAAGGACGACGTCGACGTCCGCCTCAAGTGGCTCGGTCTCTTCCACCGCCGCAAGCACCAGTGTACGTCCACTCTGCGCCGCTGCAATGCTAGTAGTTTACTTGCAGCTCGATTTCAGACGACTGTGTTCTTGACGCACTTCACTTCACGTACTGTATAATGGTGTATACATAACTGCTCTGTAGAAAGTCTGCACGTTTGATGCTTCCATTTGATCATTTTCGCGCGCTCATGTTACTTTTGGGCTCGTTTTGGAATCTGAATCTTGTCTGTTTCCCTTTCAGAGCTGATTAATGCATATTGTATTAGAGTAATTACGTCAACGTGTTTGCAAAAGTGGTTATTCGCGCACGTATGAGTAAGCTGCGTGGGAGCTTTGTAGTCGGATGCAGAAAATTTCTGTGTCCTAAAATCACAACCGGTACTAATCTCCTGTATATCAATACAAGTTCAGCAGATCTCCTGCCGACTGTTGAAAAAACTCCTCAGACATAACTGAAAAAGGAAGTGTCAGCTTGGACTTTTAGTAGGCAATAGAAAATTTCTTGTTGGCATCAAGAGGTTGGTACTAAATACACCTGAAGAGCCAAAGGTCAAGCATCCCAGTTGTGCAAACTGCAAAGGAAATGCCGCGTCACAAATAACGATCTTTCATACTTTCTGTTATCCCGAACCAGAGGTTTCAGTTTCGTTCTTTCTTGGACCGTCCGTTGATTGGTCCTACTCCTACAGAGCATAGAGACGTCTCGGATTGGGTTCACTCTGTGCCTGAGACCGTGAGACAAAATGGTGATTTTGCTAATGCTAACTAACGAGTCCTCCATGGCTGTGATGCTGCTGCTGCAGACGGGCGCTTCATGATGCGTCTGAAGCTGCCCAACGGCGTGACGACGAGCGAGCAGACGCGGTACCTGGCGAGCGTCATCGAGGCGTACGGCGCGGACGGGTGCGCGGACGTGACGACCCGGCAGAACTGGCAGATCCGCGGGGTGACGCTCCCGGACGTGCCGGCCATCCTGGACGGCCTCCGCGCCGTCGGCCTCACCAGCCTGCAGAGTGGCATGGACAACGTGCGCAACCCCGTGGGCAACCCGCTCGCCGGCGTCGACCCCCACGAGATCGTTGACACGCGCCCCTACACCAACCTGCTCTCCTCCTACATCACCAACAACTCCCAGGGGAACCCCACCATCACCAACCTGTCAGTCGATCTCTCTGTTTCTCTTCTTATTGCGTTGACACTGTGTCACCAATCTGACACGCACGCTATTGCCGGTAACTGCAGGCCGAGGAAATGGAACGTCTGCGTGATCGGCTCGCACGACCTGTACGAGCACCCGCACATCAACGACCTCGCGTACATGCCGGCCGTCAAGGACGGCAAGTTCGGCTTCAACCTTCTGGTGGGTGGGTTCATCAGCCCCAAGAGGTGGGCCGAGGCCTTGCCGCTCGACGCCTGGGTCGCCGGCGACGTCATCATCCCCGTGTGCAAAGCCATTCTCGAGGCGTACCGGGACCTCGGCTTCAGGGGCAACCGGCAGAAGACGCGCATGATGTGGCTCATCGACGAACTCGTAAGTTTCTCATCATCTCATTCAGTTAGATAATGATGCAGGACAAGTGTCGGCTGGTCAATAACAAAGAAGAACAATGGTGTCTGACACGATGCGTACGTGCAGGGGATGGAGGTGTTCCGGTCGGAGGTGGAGAAGAGGATGCCCAACGGGGTGCTGGAGCGCGCCGCGCCGGAGGACCTCATCGACAAGACGTGGGAGCGGCGGGACTACCTCGGCGTGCACCCGCAGAAGCAGGAAGGCCTGTCGTACGTGGGCCTGCACGTGCCCGTGGGCCGGCTGCAGGCCGCGGACATGTTCGAGCTCGCGCGCCTCGCCGACGAGTACGGCACCGGCGAGCTCCGGCTCACGGTGGAGCAGAACATCGTGCTCCCCAACGTGAGCAACGAGCGGCTTGACGCGCTGCTCGCGGAGCCGCTGCTGCAGCAGCGGTTCTCGCCGCAGCCGTCGCTGCTGCTCAGGGGGCTGGTGGCGTGCACGGGCAACCAGTTCTGCGGGCAGGCCATCATCGAGACCAAGGCGCGGGCGCTGCAGGTGACGCGGGAGGTGGAGAAGCGCGTGTCCGTGCCGCGGCCCGTGCGCATGCACTGGACCGGCTGCCCCAACAGCTGCGGCCAGGTGCAGGTGGCGGACATCGGCTTCATGGGCTGCCTCACCAAGGACAGCGACGGCAAGATCGTCGAGGCGGCGGACATCTTCGTGGGCGGCCGCGTCGGCAGCGACTCGCACCTGGCGGACGTGTACAAGAAGTCCGTGCCGTGCAAGGACCTGGTGCCCATCGTGGCCGACCTCCTGGTGGAGCGGTTCGGGGCCGTGCCCAGGGAGAGGGAGGAGGATGAGGAGGGAGCAGTGGACCACCAAGTCCCGGCGACCATCGACATTCCTTGCTCTTGCTCATGTTTCTTGTAAAGTAGACGCTGCCTTCTCCCATGGCACGATTTGTTTTGGTATTGCCGTAGCAAAAAATGTCCCCTTATTCACGTTACAGAGAATGCCGATAAATAAACTAACACGCTGCACCGTCAATGATCCTGCTACTACTGCCCATTGGTGATAGGTCATGGCACTCTGGTTATTTTTTTTTTCCGAGGAAAACAGGAGGGGTTTGCACCCCTACTGCAAATTAAATAAATAAAACCAGAGAAAATGTACAAGGTAAATAATTCGAGGAGTACATGGGAAAAGATTAGACTGTGTAACCATTCTTGAGTCTTTGGGAAATATTTCTTCTTCGCCCGCCAAAGTAGCAAAGTAAACTCATGTTTGAAAATTGCCTTGCACTCCTGGATCGTTGCCAGAATGTTGTTGAAAATCAAGTTGTTTCTACACATCCAGATTGCCCAACTCATTAAGACTATAATTTCCATGAAGAACAGCTCATTGATTTGTTGCTTCAGATGCTCCAGGATTTGAAATGGTTCCAGCTGAATTTGTAGATTTAACTGAAGTATTCTCCAGCAATCTATTGCGAATCTGCAGCCAATGAACAGATGGAAAACTGTTTCCTCAGTGTTACAGTCACAGAGGACACAATTATAGTTGGGCAACTCCATATTTCTTCTCTTCAGCAATCCTCTTGTGCTTAACCTGTCTCTCAGTAAGAGCCAAAAAAAGAATCTATGTTTATTTTGGCATGAACTTTTCCAGAGCCAGCCAAAGATTGGGTGTTCAGGCGTATGGCCTCTCAGATGTTTGTAAACCTTTCTTGAAGAGAAGTGATTAGAACCCCAAATGTATCTCCAAATGTCTTTGGAGTCAGTTGTCGCTAGGTTGTCCAATAGGTTTTCATATTGTGCAAATGCTTCCTCTGATAATGGTAAATGGAAAATTGTGTGAAGCTGGCTTAGTTCTTTTGCTTCCTGGATAGTGATGCTTTTCTTCTTTGTAAAGGAGTAGAGTTCAGGGAATTGCAGTTTTGGTACCCCTCCATTCCATAAATCATCCCAAAGTAAACAGGTTTTACCATCTTTGATTTCTATCATGGAGAAGCCTTTGTACTTATCAGTCAGCTTTAGGATGTCTCTCCACCAGCAGGAACCTTTTTTGTGTTGTCGTTTGCTCTGCCCTCTAAATGATAGGATTCCCATACTAAGTTCACCCATGGTAGGTCTTCTTTGTTGATAAACTTGTGGAAAAATTTTAACAGAAGAGCTTCACTGTGAGTTCTAAGGTCCAAGACACCTAGACCTCCCTCCCTTTTTGATTTCTTGACCAGATCCCAAGCTGCTTTGGCTCGCTTCTTTGAGTCCAAATGTGCACCTCTCCAAAGGCAGTGTCTTATGTATTTGTCAATTTGGTCTAGACCGTGTTGTGTACCTTGAAGGTACACATTGCAAAAGTAGGTAAGGCCGAGATTACTGAGTTTGTTAATTCGAGACGGCCAGCCTGGCTGAGGAAGGAGGATGCTGCCACAAGTCTTCTTTCACATTTAGATACTAAGGGTGAGAAGTCAACAATTCTGGGTTTTGTCAAACCAAGAGACAGACCTAGAAATGTGAAGAGAAGGCTACCTTTAGCACAGCAGAAGGTTCTTGCTAAATGATCTAGCTGTTGCTCAGAGATGTTAATTAGGTACATTGAAGTTTTTGCATAATTTACTTTCAGACCAGTTGAAGTCCCAAATGAATGCAACAAGCTCTTAAGTGTGACCATTTGAGTTGCTGAGGCTTCCATAACCAGTGAAGTGTCATCTGCATATTGAACCACCGGAAAGTCATTGGTGTGTTGTAGGGGGAGAGGTAAAGTGATTATACCAATCTCTCTGGCTTTGTTGAGGATAGATTGTAGTAGATCAGCAGCAAGGACAAAAATTAGAGGTGAGAGAGGGTCCCCTTGTCTCACCCCTCTTCTGCAATGAATGGTTTTTTTAGGAACCCCATTTAAAAGGACTGAAGAAGTTCTTGAATTTAAAATTAGTTTGATCCAATTCAGCCATTTGGATCCAAACCCTTAGCTCTCAGAATCTGCAGGATAGCTTCATGCTCTAGGGTGTCAAATGCCTTTTCAAAATCTAGCTTCAAAATCACAAGTTGCCTCCTTGATTTGTGACATACATGCAAAAACTCTAGGACCCAAGCCAAGCAATCCTGAATTGTTCTGGATTTTATAAACCCATATTGATTGTTGTGGATCAGCTTCATGATTATTTTCTGCAGCCTGTTAGCTAGAAGCTTGGTAATAATCTTAATTGAGGAGTTGAGCAGAGAAATTGGCCTAAATTCTGAAACTCTTGATGCACCATCAACCTTTGGGATCAAAGTGATGCGAGACCCATTAATACTTCTTAACAGACCTCCTCATTGAAAAAGGCTTGGACTAGCTCATAGAAATCAGGCTTTATGATTTCCCAACTTTTCTTGATGAATTCATTGTTGAATCCATCCGGACCAGGGGATTTGTTGTTTGGTAGATCTGAAATTATGGAGTCTATTTCTTCTGTGGTGAAGGGAGCTTCAAGTTCTTCCAAGTCAGTATGGTGGATCAATAATTGGTCTAAATCAAAGGTGCACTGTTTAAACTCTGAGCTCCCTATTCTTGCTTTAAAATTTTCCCATATGAGCTGAGCTTTCTAGTTATGATTTGCTAGCCTAATATCTTGGTCATTGCTCAAGGCAGAGATGGTGTTCTTCCTGTGCCTTATTGTGGCATTGGCATGAAAATACCTGGTGCCTGCATCTCCTTCTCTGATCCATCTAATCTTTCCCCTCGTTTCCAATAGGCTCTCTATTGCTTTAGTAGAAGAATTAGTTTGTCACAGATCAAGTTCTTGAAATTCCATTCAGCCACACTTAGATCTCTTAGGAGTTCCAATGTTTCAAAAAGAGAAAGCAAAAGCTTAATATCTTTGATCTTCCTGTTTAGGGAGTAGAAGTTTGCCTGCCATGTCTTGAGCTTTCCTCTGAGAGCCTTGAGCTTGGATGTGATCTTTTTTGCAGGGTCAATCTGGTTAGTAGGAGCTAACCAGCTTTGCTGAATGACCTCTAGAAAGTTATCATGTTCTAACCAACTGTTCTCAAACCTGAAGATTTTTGTCTTTGGAACTTTGGAGCATATTTCAATTAAGCAGGGCCAGTGACCGAAGTTTCCATTACCAGAGACTTGACCAATGTATTTGGGTAGGAAAGGGTCCAGGATTCTGAGGTAAAGAACCAATCTAATCTCTCAAGCAGTGGGGAGGTTTGTTTGTTTGACCAAGTGTAGTGCCTGCCTAGCAATGGCAGTTCTACTAGCCCCAGGCTGCTAATTGCTTCATTAAAAAGGAGCATTTCTTGAATGTTTCCACCTTCTCTATTTCTATCTTTAGGTTTTCTTATGAGGTTAAAATCTCCCACTATTAACCATTGAACTATGTTAGGCATCTGAATGCTGCTAAACCACTGAAGAAAATTTCTTTTCTCTTCTGTCGTGCAGGGAGCACAAATAGATGTCAGGACCCATGTATCTTCATTGTGCTTGGAAGTGAATTCAACTGACAATGCATATTCAGATTGAAAAATGAGTCCACCACTGAAACTGTGACCCCCCCAGGCTATGAGGAGGCCCCCTGAAGCGCCTTCTGAGGGTAAGAAAAGGAATTTGTCAAGATTTGCTGGGCAGAACTGTTTGACAAAAGCCTCATCAATAATTTCTTTCTTTGTCTCCTGCAGGCAAAGGATGTCACAACCACTTTCACTGATTTTATCTCTAACTAAATTTCACTTTTTGTCTGAATTCAGTCCTCTGACATTCCAACATAGCACTTTCCAAAGTTTGTGTTCAGCCATTGATCACAGAACAACAGAAAAGAGGACAGACGGGGTACTGGAAATCAGTAACCCCAGGAACCATATCTGAGAAGAGAGCATTTGAGAACAAAACAACAACCAGGCAAAAAGGGCCTTGCTGAATGAAAGAAGTTGTGAAGTCTTTAGGCTTCATCTTCATTTTCTTCATTTGGCTTCTTGGACTTTCCTTTAGCATCTTTGGAAAGTTTCTTTCCCACTACTCCTGGCTTCTTCTTCTTCTGCTGCATTTTTTCTTCCGTGAGCTCTGAGGGATCTATCTGACAAATCTCTGTACCAAGCTTTTTCAGAATGTCTATTGAAATGATTGGTGGGGACTGAGAGCAACAAAGGCAGTTCTTCTTATTGCAGATGCTGTTTTTGAAACCATTGTTTCTTATCTTCACTCTTGGGCTTCTCCTTACTTCAGTCTCCACTAGACATTCTTTGCCAATCTGTCTCTTGTTTCTTTTTATTGGCGGTAGAGATTCTGAAATTGTGTCCTCCAGGAGCTGATCTTCTTCTTCAGCACTCAAAGGGGTCCAAAGGCTGAGTTTGTTGCATTCCAAAGCTGAGTCAGGGGTGTGAGTTTTTGGGATGGAAAGAGTTATAGTCTCTGTGCCTTTACTCAGGAGCTGAGTCGAGTTGCTGTTCAAGAATTCCTTTGCCCAGCAAAAGTGAGAGGGAGAAAGCAACATAGCCGAGAAAAAAAACAGCCCAGTCTTGTGGGACCTCTAACCATTTTCCCTTTTTTGGGGGAAAAGTGCTTCTCCCAAATTGGAGTGTCAGGTGCTTTTCCAGCAAAAAAGAGTTGTTGGCATGGCTGAAATCCTGAGTCATTGCCATTCCAATCTAAAGATTATCCTGTTGGTTAACCATTTGCTCTTTCTGCTGTAGCAGCGCTGATTCAGCATCATCCATCAGTAGGCTTTCTGAAATTTCGTTGTGAAGAAAATCAACTGGTTCAGCTAGGTTGAGAGGAGGTGCTAGTTGCTCTTGGGGCTGAATAAGGGGGGCCTGAATTTTCGGCTCCATCTGGTTTTGCAGAACCTGAACTTCCTGTGGCAAGTGTTCTTCTTCCACTTCATTATCTAGTTGCCAGTTTGGTTTTCCCACTGGGTGGATTATGACCTCCATTGGATCTTCCTCTACAGGTTCTTCATTGAGGTCCTGCCCCAAAGCTAAAGATTGGAGGTTGATGCTTATGGCCTCACTCTGAGTTGGGACAACTAGGTTTTCTTGGATAACAGGGTGAAAGAGGACTTCCTGTAAATCTTCAGCCATGGGGGGTTCATTGAGGTCCTGTTCCAAAACAGGTGAAGCTAGGTTCAGGTTGATACCCTGTTCAGGTACCTGCTGCTGCGTGGAAATTTCTTTTGGCCATGGGGGACAAGCATTATTTTGCCATCCCACCACTGTCTGAGCTGGTGCCCATCCAATCAGACCTTGTTGCTACATATTTGGTCCAGCCTGTTCCCCATCTGCCTGTTGCCCCAATCCGAGAAAATCAGATGGGATTGGATTGAAGCGAATGAAGTTTTCTTCAGTGCCGCTGCTAGTTCTTGTATGGATCGGTGTAGCAGGTAGTGGGGCACTTTGCACCGCGTCTCTATTAATCTGAGTTGTACCCTCTTCCCTGTGGGTCTCAAATGCATCGGGCCCATCATTCATAGACTTAGAGGGCAGGGTCCATGGAATGATCCTGGACTCAGGTAGTTGAGGCGCCATCTGCAATGCCAAGCCTGCACTCCACCAATCTGCGAAAGAACTAAATGTGGGTGGGCTGCTCGTGCTCGGTCCAAGAGGCACGCTCGTGGCATTGGAGAACCATTTGGGCTGCTCAAGGTGTGCTTTTCCTTTGCTCCATTTACTCCACTGATTAGTCCTCAACATGTTTCTATCTAAGCGTTGTTGCCCAATGCAATTCGCTGCAATATGTCCCCCACGCAGGCACTTGTGACATCTAATCTTGAATTTGCAGCCACTCCTTGAATGACTGTTTGAGAGGCAACGTGAGCAAATCCTGGAGTTTCCTGTCCATGGTAGATTCTGAGCAGGGTGAATAGCAGTGGGAGGATGACTCGTCCCAAGGCCTAAATTCAAATTCAAATCCATCAGAGAAGAGTCGGCTGCTTTTCCGCGCTCATTATTGACTGATTTCTCCCTGTTGATCAGGTTCTTCCCGACTGAACTTTGGGCCTGGCTATGGAAATGTCGGTGAGGAGGGACTGCACAAGAACCCCAGGCATCTTCTGGGAAAATCAAACGATCGAAAACTGATTGTTTGCTTGAAAGTCTGTTTGATTCTGCCAAAATGCCGAACTTTTGCTTGATCGGAAGGCTGTTTGCTCCTGTCAAAATACCAGACTTTACAGCATCCACATAACTTAGGTGCTTTGGCCTTTGCTGAGGACCTTTAACTGACACCCAGGAAGCATCTTCTTCTTTGTTGAAAGCTGCAAGCTCAAGATCCCAACGAGGGCCTCCGTTGCCCCAAAGATGAAAAAAGATCTTATAGCTAGAGCATTCGAAGCTGACCAGATTGAAGATGTGAAAGCCCACACTTTTAGAAGAAACCAAAAAGCGAAACACCCGAGGACCAAGCTAGAGAACGCAAAAATCCTGAGTAACACCTCCAATGGTGGCTTGAAGGAGAAGACCCACCGAGAGAGGGCAAAGACGAAACTTGCAACGACCAAACGAAGCAACCAGAAAGAAAACATCAGAAGAAACACACGCTGGAGAGACTGGGAGCCCAAACCTCCGGTTGATGGTGGCTTGGACTCCAAAGCCCGGGCGGAAACTGAGGCCTGGGAGCTCCATCCCAGGCTGGATGGCGCTTACTTAGAGATGCCCTAGGAGAGCTTTAGGCAGGGAGGACACCGGGTGAGAAGACGAGTCATCTTGACTGAGCGTTCCCATCTTAGCGAGCTTCAGAGAGATGCCATGGCTTCAGCGGCAAAACATCGAGCAGCTTGCGGGCATACTCCGCAGCGGCCACCCACTTCCAGCTTAAGCTCCAGTGAAACGTCAGCGGTCAGGTGCAAACTCCAGCAGGGCTCAACCAAGGACCGGACACCAGCCAATATCGGAGAGGTCTGTGACGGTTTGGTAATTGTCGCCGTGGCCGGATTGGCCATCGGCGCAAACTTAGAGGAGCGGGGGGAGGGCGACGCCGCAGCTGTGGGAGAGCGCGGGCCCCCCCTGAGGCTCGCGCGGGAGGAAGCTACGGTGGGCGGCGGCGGTGGGCAGGCGGCGGTGGGCAGGCGGTGGCGCCGCTAGCTGCTCAGCTTGCAGTTCTACGGATGTGGACGACTTGAGTGTTTCGTCTCTGATTTCTCCTCACGCGGTCGTCGGTCACCATCGCAGCAAGGACGACGGTCACAGTCCCAAAAATTTAAGTACCGCTGATCAAGCCTTCGATCAATGGTAATGCTTTGTTTAGGGCGTTTGGGACGCCTCGTTCCCATCTGGACGCATCGAAGCATCCACGTAGATAAAAGCACTATGCATGCTGTGCTTGCCTCGCTCCACACGTGGTGCTCGCTCCCACCCGCGTTGCGCGCCCTCGCCCGCGCTGATTCGCCCCGCCTGTTGCAGTAGGGCCACGTCACCGTCTTCGTCGCCAAGTTTTTTAGCCACGCTAGCCTAATATCCTTCCTCACCGCCGTCCCCGAGCCACGCGGCCAGTAGGCCTCCATCCGACTCACCGCGGGGCCCTCCATCCCTCCGCGGCCGCCTCCATCGCATTAGGTGCCACCATCTCGCCGTCATGCCCTTCCACCACTGCCGATTCGCCGCCACCGCCACACAGTTAAAAACACGTGATGCAAACGTATGCTACAAATATTTCATATGTTTCAGATGTATGTTGCAAGTGTTTTATACGGATGTTGCAAAAGTAGATCGGGATGTTGCATATGTTGCAATGATTTGTACATATATGTTGCAAACGTCTATTCCCTATGTTTCATCTGTTTTTCAAGCATATGTTGCAAGTGTGTTTATCTGGATGTTGCATATGTGTTCACACAATGTTGCAAGTGATTTATCTAGATGTTGTTTATGGGTTGCAATGGTTTTCAATTGTTTTTCACGTGTTTTTGCAACTGTTTTAGGCGCATGTTTCGAATGTTTATGTTGCAAGTATTGCATTTGGATGTTTCAAAAGTAGATCCAGTGTTGCACATGGGATGTGTGTGGGAAGCAGGAGGGGGCGCGAGCGGTCACCATGCAAGCGCCTGGCGCAGGCCCCCACGTGGGCGCGCGAAACGCAGGTACGATCGGGCGACGTCCGAGCTGCGCGGGCCCTCACGTGGACGGATGAAATGGAGGCACGAAAACAGACTGCGGCCACGGGCGTCCGTCCGGATGTCCAAACGCTAGCCATGTCGTTGGATCAATCTATCACTTCCCCGTGGACCGGAAGGGTTAGAGCATGTAACACCCATTTTCAACATGTACGGCTGGACCGTGCATCTATAGTAAACCACTGTATATCGAGGGGTGAAAACGGTCAGCATAAATTCTGTTCGGTTCGTTTCGATTTCTATTTTTAAAATTTGAATTGACGGTTATTCCGATTGTTTTTTATTTTTCAGGTTTTGCTAAATCTAAAAACAGGACGCAAACAGTAGAGAGACAGGGAATAGCCGCCAAGGGTAGAGAGACAGGGAAATAGCTATTTCCTTGAGTGCCGGCCGTGACAAATCATTTAACCGCCAAGGAAATACTTAAGCGGTCAGATTTTTAACACCGCCAAGGAAAAGTAACAACACTCAAGGATATGCGTTTTCTTGAGGGTTGACAACCCCCAAGGAATATAGCTGGCCCCAAAGGATATATATTTTCTTGAGGGTTTGTTTCCACCAAGGTATTTGTTGGACCCCCAAGAATATATATTTTCTTGAGAGTTAGCACCGTCAAGGTAACACAAATGAACCGTCAAAACAATAGCTTTATCTGAGGGCTCACAACCCCAAGGAATAATGTGTTTCCTTGATAGCTAACCCTCAAGGTAATGCATGGCACAGAGGCTTAATTGGCCAAGAAAGTATTGATCATTCATTATAAATGTAGACCAAAACAAATATCAGGATAGAGGCCACAATTAAACTAAACTAGTGCTAGATTAGATAACACATCCAATATCCATTGATTCATTACATGTCCATTTTGCAAATATAAGACTTAGGTAGATAGCAACAGTGTATCATCCTACATGTCAGCAGGATAGCAGCACATACACAAGGCAAATACTGCACACAGTTCATAAGGCAATATTGCACTTAGCAAAAGATCAGCCTAATATTATCTTAGTTCCTACCAATCAATAAACCCAAAAGAAAGTCCACATCCCATTGTGCAGTCACTTGGAGTTGTTGGAATTAGTTTGTTTGCATGCATAGTCACTGCTAAGTAGAGCGGTGATCGTCATCGCTTTGGGAGGAGCTAATATCATCACCATCTTCAAGACAACCATCGTCATCATCGTCCTCAATGTGGTCATCATCATCGTCTTCATTGGAGTACTGGACATGATCGTTGCCTTGATGGTAGCTGCAGTCATCATCATCGCTTTCATGGTAGCGGTAGTCGTCTTCGTCATCAGCGTTGTCGTTGCTGCGCCTTTCATCAACAGAATGAGAGCCTCCATGTGACCCAGTAGCCTGCAAAAGGCAATATTGAAATATTTTTGTACAATTCTGGAATATAAAAGTTTGGTCTTCAATCTCTAAGAGCCTACTATAAAGTATCAAATAACTGAGGGCTGTTTTGCTGTATTATTAAAACAACCTAGTAGATGAGAACCCTAAAAAATAGGCATATGCCAATCAAAGCTTTTCTTCACTACCTTACCATGAACATAAAACCTAAAAATGGCATTGTTAATCAACAAGAATCCACTTGTTCACTGCTGCAACTCGTATTGGCATTCTGCCACGAAACAATATTAATTCTCTAGATGAATTATGATCGAAATAAAGAATATGAATTGCACAAACAAATTCAATAAATAATGTAACCTGATGACGACGGGCATCAAGGTCTTGTAGACGTTGAAGCAGTTCAGCAGGTGGTTCTACACCTATCCGATCAAACACACTCTGCAATTGAAAGTATCCAAATGAAATTGTATGCTTAGGACACAGTAATTGCAGATACAATGGAAAAATTATTACCTTGAATAGCTCATGATGGATTCTATTTTTCTCAGCTAGTATGTCATTATTCGTTTTCAATTATGCATTTTCTTGTAGCACACTTTCATAATGATCAGGATCAGGTGGCCTAACAGATACAGATTTGGAATGTGCTAGAACAATTGCCTTATCCACAACACCATCACCTATTGGAATAAGACCATGCTTCATGCCACGTCCTATAGTGTACAATGCTCTTGTGAATTTGCATCCGGAGCTACTGCCATGTACTCATCCTAACATAGAAACAGGAAAATGTATCAAAGGATGCCACAATTCAGTTTACAGAACAAATGAAAGCATGTTGTGCAGAGCATACCAATCTTTTTTGTGCTTTCTGGCTAGGGATTGGAGCACTCCTTCCGGTGCTGTGACACGGTACACAGATCGTTGCCTCCACATATCCTCAATTCATACCTAAAAAGTTGCTAGAGACAATCAGATTCTTACACAGGAGAGTTATAAATGAATGACAGTAACCATTCACATGGGCAATGAATGGAGCTTACCAGCCAAGCAAAAGGTACATGCTCTGAAAAAGGCACAACAATCTATTTAGCTATGGATGTTAACCACAGAAATATGAAAATGTCCAGTTGCTACCATAAATATTTTAGTTCACAACTACCAATCCTAAATATATAGACTGTTGCTACCATAAAAAGAACCTTTTTAAGATAAGAGAATATCTATATGAGTACTATGTTAAAATAATACTAGCATACAGACTAAATGCTAACTAATTCTGGTTGAAGAATACTTTGATCTCAACTGACTGCAAGGACCGATAGTCAAGATCTAAAGGAGAAGGACAGAGGACGGTGCAGATGGAGAAGCTTGCCGGTCACTGCGACATGGAGCTCATGAAGATGGCCATGTTCAGACCCGAAGAGACCTTCAGGCAGCAGGAACCACACCACTCGAACGCAAGACACCTGAATTTAGGAATCTAGCTGCCATTCTTCTGCGCAACAGATCAATGAGTTGCGCCGACTGTACCACATCTAGAAGCAGCTGGTGGGCGGCTTGTCCAGGCCGTCATCGGAGGCTCGAAGCTCAGCTGCCGGCATCAGGTTGGCCGCATGCAGTTGAATGTGCAGGCGCCAGTCGTTTCATGCCCACGACAGACTAGATGAGTTCCTCTATACTATACACATGGGTGGATTGCAGGGTACCTGTAGATTCGCCACTGGCCATCGACCGCTTGAGCAGGACCCGCCGCAGGACCCGCTGCCGACCGCGCAGGAGACACCGCCCGTGTAACACCCTCGGTGTTACATTGTACAGTTCTTGCTAAAACACTGCATGAGCATCATACTTGTTTGTACATGGCTGTAATATAGGGTATAAATCAACGTACGACACTTGAAACGTTCATCTGAAACAAGAAACAAATGTTACATTTCATGTCGCTTTGTATCGTTTAGTATTCTAAGTGAATTTTTATCGAACAAAAATGTTATAGAACGCTTATGCGAAACTTTGATAAAGTTCGTAGTACAAACTTCGTAGGCGACGATGAAATACGTGCGGTTGAAGACGGAGTTCGCTAGCTAGTGTATCAAGTAGCCTGGAAAAGAAACTCGACGCAAAACTGTTTGAAGCTTAGTCGTTTCACGTAAGTTTGAAAATGGGTCGACGAAGCCATGTTCGGCAATTTTTGTAGAGCGATCGGGTTAAGAAGTGGCGAGATGTCTTGGCTTAGTTCGATAGCCCTATGTACCCTCTTAAGGATAGAATGGCTGGTTTGGTTTTCGGATCATCGAATGGGGTGTTGTTGTAGCTTTAAAAAGCGTGCACAACACGTTTTGCACCTCCAGGCGCGGTCACCGCCTCTGTTCGGCCTGGCACCGCTGCTCTGGATTGCCCCGCGCGCGCTGCCACGCCGGCCGCGTCGCCACCGCTGCGCCTGTGCAAGCATGTCCACGCACGTGGTCCCTGCGCTGCTGGCCACAGCCTTCTACCGCCATGCTCTGGCGTAGCTCGCTCACGCCGCACGCGCCCAGTCGCGCTGCCCGCCGTCATCGCCGCGCGCTGTCCGCTCGGCCTTCACTGCCGCCCGGTCCGCACTGCTGTTGCGCGCCTGGCTCACGACTCGCGCGCACGGGGGCCCAGCGGGCCTGGATGCTCTGCCCCTCCATCACGTCCGCCTACGCCCCTGCTCGCCGTCGCGTCTGCCGGCGTGTACGGCTCGTCCAAACTGGTGTCGCCACTAGCCCAAGCACGTTCACGCGCACCACCTGCACAGCCACTGCTCCCATTGACGTTGCGGCTGCACACGCATGGGTTGGCCCCGCCGGCCCTCGTCTTCACGGTTGCGCGCGTGGACACGCCACATTGCCCCATCGCATCGTCTGGACGGTCGCCGGCCGCGCCACGCCAAGGCCTACTCACTGAGCCGGTCCCCTCTTGCATTTGCCCACGTTTGAAGGACAAGTGGGGGTATAGCGTCGTGCCTAACTCGCCATGGACGGTAGTACGATGTCGGGCACCAATTTAAGCTTTCATCGTCGCCGTCAGCACCATTAAGCCGAGTGTCGTCGCCCTCAAATTGGCCGTGTGCAGTCCATCCCTTTCCAATTCACCATGCGCCCAAATAGCTAGAGTAGTTAGCTTCCGATTGGAGTCATTTCGACGGGCTTCCTTCCTTTGGTGAGGTAAGGGGGAGAGTTTTCCCCTCGGCGGTCCGCCATGGCCGGCGCGATGAGTTCCCAGCCCAGGGCGCTGCTCCTTGCTCTTGTGCCTAATTCGAGTAGGGCGGTTGCCTCCCCTTGACTCGTTTGCCTCGCCTGTGCAATGGCTCCGTCGATGGAGCAGCGGGGCACCAGGAACGTCTTCACCGTGGCCGGCGTGAACCAGGCGACCTCGCACACATGGCTAGCCCATTGCCATTCCTCGCGACTTCGCCCGGCTCATCCGTCACATCTCCGGTGAGGCCCTCTTGCTCCTAGGATAGGCGGTTGAGCCAATTAGTGGCTGGGTAGCCCGGAGCACATTGGCAGCCGTCGGCGAGCGAGTTTAGATGCCATTCATGTGGCCAGCTCGGTTGGGCGTGGTAGTGATTTAATTAGGGCTTCAAGGTGGTTACTCTTAGCCTGTAGATGGTTACCGAGTAGCAGTAGAGGCGTACGGTTAGGTGGTTTCGTCGACGCCGGGCTACCACGGCTAGACCCCACCATGGCGCGTGGCCACGCCTGTGTAATGCGTCATTCTTGGCGTTTGTTACCTCAATCTATCGCGCATGGTATGTAGAGTCTCATAGGGGTGTTGGTTGGGGCCGGAGAGGTCTATGCTCACCGACGTTTGGCCGGTGAGGCCGCGGCCTCTGTTCGTCCAGCCAGGGGCTTCGTAAAACATGAATTCGACTAGAAGTAGGGTCCTAGATGCAAACTCTGTGACTCGGTGAAATAGTACTTGAGTGGGTTTTGTGAATAGGGTAGAGAACGGGGCTTTTTTAAAAGAGCCACCCGTGGCGGGCTCATTGTGGCACAGCATCGTCATCGCACCCCGAGTGGGGTCAGCAGCCGGTTGTTGTTTGATCTTGTGCGCAAGGAAGAAGCCGGGGTGGGCCGAGCCGTCGCTCACGGGCCGCGTGGTGAATCCGTTTTTCAATTCTCCAGTGAATTACTAATATTTATTCAATATAATTTCTAGCTGAACTTTAATAAATTGTAGTAAATTATGTAGTTGTTCAAAAATAGTGAAACCAATTTTGTTAGGTTCACAAAAATATCATCTACTTGTTAGTACAGTTAGATTACAGTTAGCTGTGACAATGGTAGGTTCATAAATTCAAACTAAAGAGCTTAGTATTATGTAGATTAATAATTGTAAGAATTTTTGTGGTAAATTGGTGATAGATATAGCTATGAAAATTTTACAGTAAGCTCACTAGATTATTATGTATTTGCTGTAAATTTTGTAGCCCTAGAGTAGGTTGATAAGTAGGGTATCTATTATCCTTGCTTTATCATATATAGTGTAAATCAGTATTAGAGTAAGAATACCTATAGTTGCTATAATAATAAATGCCATACTTCATACTTGTTATTGGTAATAATAGATAACTTAGTACCGTGGTCGGTAGCACTAGCTTATTAGTTAAATAGATATACTTTTATTTTAAGAGTTGCTGTTGCTATATTACTAAGCATTGCATCATCATTTTATGAATGTAGATCACGAGCTGGTAGAATTCGTGCTCGTCGACGAACAAGAGTATGATGAAGTCATTGAGGAGTACGAGGAGGAGATTCTCGTGCAGGAGGGAGCCCTAGAGCCTTTTGGAGCTGACCTTATTGACCCGTTGCCTGCTCAAGGCAAGCCCCGGTATATATCCCCTATTTTATGATTACTGAATATATATATATATATATATATATATATATATTATGGAAACTACGTGCATAAATATATCCACCATGAGTCCTACTAGTATAGGTCGAGTAGCTGTTATGCTCAGGATGTCGGTAGCGTGGTTAACCTGTTGTTACTCACAAATAGATGATAAATATGATCACTCATGATAAAATGGTGGAAAGAAAATGGTGATCGGACAGGGATATGGTTTGAGTACTGGTGGGTGTAAAGGGTTGTGTCCTACGGCCAACAGGACATAGCTTGGTTATACTTTTTTTTTCTATCTGTGTCAATTAAGGACCGGTCGTTGCAATGGACGCGGGGCAAGTCACAGATCTATTGTTCCGAGCGCATACTTGGATATGAGCGTAGGGAAGACTTGTTGCTCTCTTGTCGTGGATCCGACTCTTTCTGGATTGACTGATTGGAGGCGGAGATGGTGAAAGTCCTTGCACCGCACTGAGTCTGAGACTCAGGAGTGGGGGCTTGGGAGTTTGGACGAGGACCTGGACACCCAGGATAGAAGGGTGATGGGTTAGTCCTGCTTGTGCCTAGAGTATAAACAGGGTGTTTGTTTTTGGGGCACCCAGCTGTCACATTGGTTCGCGAATCGTCGTCGAGTCGGTACGACTTGTCTTACCTCTAGCATCGTAATAAGAACTAAAAGTTAAAAGAAAAAGAAATGGAACTGATTGCTCAACTCTTGCTTGAAAGTAGAACACGTGCTTATATAGACTGGATAGATAATAAACTTAATACGACTGATAATAATAACATAAATAAGGACTCACTATTAATATTGCTTTCTGCTAAAAGAAAACCAATAAACTTTGAAGCTTATCATATTCCTTGGAGTCGGAAAATTATTTCTCACTAGTCGGGTAAGTCTTGCGAGTACATTATGTACTCAGGGTTTATTTACCCCTGTTGCAGGTGATGCATGAGAAGTACCTTTGTGTGGAGGATTCTTCTAGTGGGCTCAGACGGATCCTCGTTCTTATCGCTAGATGTTTATTTTAAATTTCGCTGTTTATCATTCCGTATTCTGACATTTGGTAATGTAATAATGTATTTTTTAAGAAACTCTTATGTATAAAATGGACCTGTATTGTAACTCGTTCTCATTATTGGATCCTTGGGAAAAATGTGGATCTTTAGGGTTCTTCCTTGGGGTGTGCCCGACGGATACCACCCGCTGTAGCTTGCTTTTGGGGTGCTTAGTGTCTGGTGGAAGGCGAGCACATCCGTAAACGCATGTTATTCCGACGGTTCTGCCACAACCCGCCCGCCGCACAGGAGACGCTGTCCGCCCGCGCAGGAGACGCCGCCCGGCCACCGACCACTCTGGAACCGCCGACCCGCCCACGCAGGAGCCGCCGCAGTAGACTCGATTTGGGAGGCAGATGGGGAGGGGGCAATTGGATAGGGTTGCTCGGCTGGGCACCAGGCGTGTGGATGGTTAAAAGGCCAGTGTTGGGATTTTGTTTACAGGCCAAAATCTAGCGCGGGAAGTTTAGTGCCTTCGATGCGCGGCAAAGGGAAAAAAAATCTTGACGGCTGGCACTCAAGGAAATCAGTGCTTCCTTGAGTGTTTCCAAACACACTCAAGCAAATGCATATTTTTCTTGAGTGTGTGAAATAACACTAAAAAATATACATTTCCTTGGGGGGTTTTTAGCCACC